AGGCAAAGACCTACTCATTGTTCCCCCAGGGATGAAGTTACTGTCAACCCACCGTCATGCAGTCAGTGCTGCCGTGTGGTGACTCTACAGGACACTGGAGTGCGGCTCCTAAGAGTTTCTGGGACTAAACCTTTATAAAAGCAGACGGCTTCATCTTTCCCCAGGAGAAGCTGGTGGGTTTGAGCAACTAGGGTTAGCAGCACAACACTTACCCCAGCTTCCCAGGGCTCCTTGAGGTTACCACACTAAAAAACCTCAAATGCAATGGCTGGAGTAAATTCCTAGTCCTAATCACCCTACACAGGGCCTCTGAGGCTTTGTAAATCTTTCCAGGAGCCGACAGCCTCCTCTTTCTCCGGAGGAGCATCTGAGGGGCGGTTTGAACGGACCTCCGAGTTAGTAGTCCAAAGCTTACAGGCCAGCAGGTTTTTACCAGACAGAGACTGGCGCTCAACCTACTGAAGCTCTTGGTGGAAACGACACCCCTCCTCCTGGGTTCCTCTTCACCTGCACACCTGCATGCCCACCTGCACCCACGGCCCCGCCCTCACCTGCCCTGCAGAACTCCTCGGCCTCCTGCGGCACCATGTCCTTGACGCGGCTGCTGTAGGCGAGGCGGGCGTCCTGGTCATAGGCCTTCAGGGTCTCGCTGGAGCTGTAGGACTGCTGTGGGGCTTTGCCCTCCTCACTGTCCGCTGACGAGCTGGTGTAGCGGCGCTCAGCGTCGCGGCGCCGGGTCAGCGAGCGGTACGGCTTCCTCTCTTTCACGTCCATGGCCTCTGGCCCGCACTCGTCCACATCCACGAACAGGGCCCGGGCTGCACTCAGGGCCGAATGGTCTGCAGCAGGGGGAAAAGGAGGTGGGGGCATATGAACAAAGGCAATGCCTGGGGCTTCCGGTGACCCTCCCGAGGCCTGCGAGTCCTGGAGGAGGGCCTTCAGGTTCAGAGTGGGGACAGCGATGCTTAACCACCACGCCCCCAGAAGCAGCAGAGGCAGACTGCCCCCAGGGTCTTGGAGGGTACATCCTGTCTGTCTGCTGCTAGGCCCAACCACCAGGAACGTGTGTCAGTTTCTCCCTGAGTGACGTCATCGAGGAAGCTGACCGCAAAAGCAAAGGAGCCTTGCCACTTAGTAACCCCCTTAATCCCCCTCAGACCCCCAAGCTGGGACGCAGCCTGATGGAGAGCCCGGTCTCCATCAAGGCAGGCGAAATGAACGCCTAGACTCAAGCCACTGGGGTAAGCGCTTTGCTTAGACGATCTCATTAAATGCGCACAGTGGCTTGGAGATGTTATTGCCATTTCTAATCATTGCCTGCAATGAGCCAAGGTATAAACAATCAGCCCACAGTTATCACCACTAGACACACTGTACCATTTCCTGAGTGTCTATCTCTTCCCACTAATGTGTAATCTTCAGAAAGCGGGTGCCTTATGTGTGATCAATCGTATGTCCAGTACAGCTGGCCACACAAAACCAAGCTGGCTGTTGACTCGATTCCGACTCATGGCGTCCCTATAGGACAGGGGACGATCGCCTCAGTGGATGTCCAAGACTGTGAATCTTTATGGGAGAACGCCCCGTCTTTCCCCGGCGGCCACACAGCAACCATGAACCAGCAAACCAGGTGGGGTTGGGTCACTTCTGGCCCCTGCTGACATCCTGTGTGTCACAGGAGAAAGCACTGTGCTCCCGGGACTGTCAGCGACCCACCGTGTGGCAGGAGAGCATCGGGCCTTTCTTCCGGGGCGTCTCTGGGTACTCTAACCTTCGGACAGTGGCCGAGAGGGAGCCTTTGCATCACCCAGAAACCCCTGCTGTACATTAAACCCATTGCTTGAGTTGATGCTAACGTGTAAGGACTCTGTAGGACAGACTCCACCTGCCCTGTAAGGTTCCTAAGGTTGTAAACTTTTATGGAAGCAGTCTGCCACCTCTTTCTCCCAGGGAACAACTGGTGGGTTTCAACGATAGGCCTTCTTCAACATCAGATGAGCACTTAACCACTGTCGCCCTTGCCCCCACAGGGCCCCGCCGGAGCACCAGAGTCCACACCAACCCCCGTGTGACAGCGGAGAACAGTGAGATTCAGAACCTCCCCAGGGCTTGGTGGGTCTGGGTCTGGTGGCTCTAAAGTCTCAGTTTGTTCTGTCCATCTGAGTTCCACCTTCCCTTTCACTACACAGAAGTGTCCGGGCAGCTAGGATCGCGCTCACCTGCTAGCAGCCCCCCCTCCCCCCCACCTGTGCATCTCTCCAGTGGCGCCGTCAATACCTGGGGAAGCTCCAAGTGTGTACCCACGTGCCTTGGGCTTGGGCAGCACGTCTGCTGGACAGAAAGGCCATGCCTTCCTTTCTTCTCTCCCCATCTTGACCCTTTCACCCTAGACCGGCCCCCTTCCTTCTCAAGCTACACATTGTCTTCGTTCGGCTCTGGGCTGACGGACGGACTCAAGCTCCTTCGAGGGAAGGGAGGTCAGCAAAGGAGGAAGGCAGACTCTTCCCCTGCACACGGAGAGAAGACCTTTCCTTCTAGTGGAAGCCCACCACCTTCTCAGTCCTTTCTTGCATCGTTTCACCTTCCGCACCAGCGCTGTTCTCGCCCAGAGCCTCGGAGGAGTCCATCTGGACGGACAGCAACAGCACCGGACAGAGCAGGAACCACCTCAGTTGTAATCTTTACAGATGCCCAGAGCTAGCTTTTTCTCCCATGCATCCCACAGGTGGGTTTGAACTGCCAACCTTTAGGTTAGCAGCCGATCCTTAACCTTGGCACCAGAAGTGCTCCCTCATCACAGGCATGGCAACTCTTCTACACCTTCCTTGTCATCTGAGAGAGACACAGGGGAAGGGCTGTGATGACCGGTGTTGGCAGTGGTCAGTGTCAGGGCAGCAGTGGGGAGTGGCGGGCCCTCTGAGAAGCCAGGGAGCTCAGTGCCCACCCGTGCTGCAATGTGGGTGTGGGTGTAAGTGTGGGCGTACAGGGGTCTTGTGAAAGGTGGAGCTTATGTCTGACCTCATGCACTGCCCTGGACATGGGTTCGGCAGCCTCTGTGGCTTTGTGCACACTGGCCTATGGTAGTACAAACAGCGAGCTGGCCTGTCGATTGTCATACCCGCCCCTCCCCTTGACTGGAGTTCCTTGCTGGCAGAGCTGCGTTTTCTTCTCCTGCCTTCCCACGATCAGCCTGGGGCCGGCATCCACCGTACTCGGGAAGCACTGGGATCCCCGGTGCTCACGGATGAAGTCAATAAGGCGGCAGCCACTTCCTGCTTGCCCATCTGAGGGGACATCAAACACTGGCAGTTGGACTTAGGCAGGAATGTACTAGAGTTAGCTAAGACGGCCTATGTGTGTTTCAGAGACAATGAGGGGGCTTCCAAGGTCGTGGAGAAAAAATGGAAT